TGGTTTTTCCATGGATTTAAGCAGGACACTTGGGTGACACAGACTGTTATTCTCAGAACTGCATCGCTCTAGTGTCACTGAAGCTTGGGGACGTATTAAAGCCTCCGTTTGCTGCCTCATTATGGCTCGAGGTCTGCTTTCGCAGCATCGAATGTGTCCTCCCAATTTCCTCTTGGTCTCATACCACCGTTGAAGTGCCATGGCCAACTGCTCTGGGTAGTTGAATGTGACACTAAGCAGCTTTGGGGAGCTAATCAGTGTGAGATGAGCGGGCGAGGTAGTCGGGAAATAGAGATGACTCTAGAAGCGCCATCTGAGATGACAGCCATCTCCACTGCTGTACGTCAAGCATGTGTTTTTCACAAGCGGTGCCCGTTTCCAGCTCCGGAACACCATGTACCACCATTGAGGTAGAAGGCATCAGTTCCGGTGACTCCCTCGCCATTTGTCTGATAGCCCATGGTCTGTCCTGTCTCACCCTTATGTTTGAACTTCTGTCGATTACTAGTAACTGAGCCATCAATAGTACCTTTTTGGCCTTTTCGGCAGAGTCCAGTGTAACCCGCAATAGGGGTGGCTTACGCTGAGGCATGTGGACACTCCTGTACAGCCTGCACAATTTCACTGAGCTAATGTTCAGACCTGATTTATTGCACAGGCTGAACCACTGTTCCTGATCAAACAGGGGCCGCTGTTCAAGCAAGCTGTCCTTACTCACAGGTACGTTAAAGATGAGAGAATTAGGCCGATTAACCTCAGACTTAGGTTTGGCGCTTGGCTGCTTGTATTCTTTTACAGCGTCAGCAACTTTAGGCTTCATCAGGTTCTGGCCAGCCTTTGTTGTGTTGCCGAGCTTGCTTGTGGATGCAAGTGGTAGTTTTCTTATTCTCTCTTCCCTTGATTTTGTGGTTCCAACCTTTTGCATCTTCACCTTATGAAAATTGGCATTTTCAGTCAGTATGACTGGAGTGTCCTTCTTACTGTCTGTGCCAAGTTTTGGCAGTGTGATGTTAGCAGGTGTGGAGCTGCGTAAGACTGTGTTGGGACACAAGAGCGATATGTTGTTTCTGCTATCCGCAGACACGCTTTGTGGGACTATGCCGGGGCGACAGAGTGGACAGATGTACCAAAACCACGGACGCGGGTTATTTCTCATAAACTCGTAGTATGCTTTCGGCACCTCTTTGTCACAACGGCAGTGCACCCACCGTTTGCAAAAATTGCATTCAAACGCTGAGTCAGCTTTAGAAACTATGATATTGCACGTCTGGCATTCGTCTCCCTTACTTGATGACGCCTTCGAGGTCTTATGACGTCTAGAGCGTTTCCCTTTAGTTTTGCAGTGTTTCACGCAGTGGCTTTCAGTGGATGTAAGTGTTGTATCCTGTCCACCTGCTATTGCCTGCGCCGTTTCAGTACTAGACTGTGGCAGTGTAGGCATAGTATCAGGACAGACGAGTCCTACACTGGTCTTTAGGATCGGTATGCGGGAAGGGGTTGATGTCCCTGGGTTTTTGGCTTCTCTGGCTG